GTGCAGGCTGTGCAAAGATGCCCCTGAAACAATCCAGCACATAACAGCGGGGTGCAAGATGCTAGCAGGCAGGGAATACATGGAACGCCATAACCAAGTGGCTGGCATAGTGTGAGAAACATCTGTGCTGAGTACAGGCTGGAAGTCCCAAAGTCAAAATGGGATGCACCTCCAAAGGTGGTTGAGAATGACCAAGCTAAGATCCTGTCAAACTGGTAATGGCCAACCAACCAGACATAGTACTGGTGGACAAACACCATTTTTTATTCAAATAACACAACCTGACATTCTGGTTAGTTGCGGTTCTTATCCCTCTCTCCTCTTTACAGCCAAAGGAAGAAAATCTAGTAAAATCTGGTATTCCATTGTCAGTGTGCATTTTCCACTCCTTGCTTCTCTAATCTTGCTAACAGACAGACTGGTTACAGGACCAGTTGGAATGCATTGCTCTCATCTCTTCTGCAGTTAGAGATCATATATATTTTTCCTTCTTTGGTTGATTTCAATCTGCTTAATAAACAAACAAATTCTTCATGCAAGGGCCAATTGCAGGAAATCATCTTGAGTGTTACTTGGAAATGGCGCAAACATGTTCTCAAACTGCATTCTGTCTGTACACAAAGCAGCAATGTATCATAGGTTCTTAATTTCAGTGGAAGTGATTCTAATTCACTGACAAACACTGGAGTATATAGAGAAAACAAAGAGGACACAATGTACAAATCAAAATATATCCTTAACCATACATTTCCAAACCCTTCTGAGACTGGAAAACAAGCAGATGAGATTTATGAGAGTTATGTCAGTCTAGTGGAATGTTCAAATAAAGGCACATCTCTCCTAATTATGTTTATGTTTATTACCTGTCTATGGCTGGCAGCACTGTCAGTGTTACCTATCATGGCCTCTTTCAGAAGCCTTAAGCAAGCATATTTTTAATTCATTAATCTTGAGGTCAGATAACTATCTCATTATCTCAATATGACAGTCCTTTTATTGTGATAACAGGTTATTCTGTTATCTTATCAGCAGGTTGTTTTCTTGAGATAATGGGATAAATATTTAGTTTTCACATTTTTAGATTATTACTGGATTACGACAAGGAGCAATTTTTGTTATCCTGAGAACACAAAATATTCAACTATCAATCTCGAGATATTGATAAAAAAATTGTTGCAACCTTTGCTGACCCTGGCTTTGATAGAATGGATATGCCGACCCTTAAACTGATGACAGATGATGACAACTTCTGACACAGCAACTACATTTGGTTCTGTTTCACCCACTAGGTAACCCTTGACTGTTACAGACCCATGACTGAGATAGATGTAAAGTTGAGAGATGTTAAGTTGGTGTAATCTGAAAAAAAAACATGAGTTCTGCACGACTGGCATTGAGCCGGAGATATTTATCCCCCTCGGTGGTGTTTCAGTCATTTGATGGCCAACAATGTCCCTTAACGACTGAGTCGTTATAGCCCAGTATCGGTGAGAGTCATTACCTGTCTTTGAATCCTCCCCTGTCAACCGACGCCTATTGTCCTGGTGGGCATGTTTGGGCAGAGATCTCAAAACAGGATTGTATATGGATGACAAGTTGTGTCTTAGTCCACCACCCCTAGTCAGGGGTGTTCTATTTTTACAAAAATAGCTTCCTTAACTCCTCTCTCAAACCAGCGATGTTCTCTGGAGAGGATCTGGACTTCACTGTCCTCAAAAGAATGTCCTTTGTCCTTCAGGTGGAGGTGGACTGCTGACTCTGGTCCACTGGAGTTGGCCCTCCTGTGTTGGGCCATGCGTTTGTGAAGCGGCTGCTTAGTTTCACCAATGTACAAGTCGTTACACTCCTGACTACACTTAATTGCATACACCACATCACTCTGTTTATGTCTGGGTGTTTTGTCCTTCAGGTGGACCAGTCTCTGCCACAGGGTGTTCCCTGGTTTAAAGTTAACTGGGATATTGTGGTTGTAAAAGATCCTTTTTAACTTCTCTGATAAACCAGCCACATAAGGGATGACAGTGTTATCCCCTCTTGTTTCTGGTTCCTCCCAGCCACATAAGGGATGACAGTGTTATCCCCTCTTGTTTCTGGTTTCTCTCTGTTGGTGTTGGGCCTCTTCCTTGTTTTGGTAAAGGCCCACTTGGGGTATCCACAAGCCCTAAGGGAGTTCTGGATGGGTAATTTCTCCTTCTTGGCCCCTTCTGCAGTTGTGGGCACTTCCTCTGCCCTGTGATTTAAAGTTCTGATGACTCCCAGTTTGTGTTGAAGTGGATGGTGTGAGTCAAAAAGCAGGTATTGGTCCGTGTGTGTAGGTTTCCGATATACTTCTACCTTCAGGCTTCTGTCCCCTCCCAAGTGGACTGCACAATCCAAAAAGGCCAGGCAGTCATCTCTGGCATCCTCACAAGTGAGGATGTTGTCATCCACAGGGCTGATATGCTTGGTGAAAGCCTCCACCTCCTGGGTCCTGATTTTAACCCATGTGTCATCCACGTAGCGGAACCAGTGGCTGGGAGCGGTACCAGTGAAGGAAGACCGGGATTTCTGCTCAATTTCTTCCATGTACAGGTTGGCAACTATTGGAGACACAGGGGAGCCCATAGCACAGCCATGTTGCTGCCTATAGAAGTGCCCCCTAAACTGGAAGTAGGTAGTGTTTAAACTGAGTTCCAGAAGGGTGCATACTTTTCTGGGGTGAGGTTAGTCCTGTTGTTCAGCGTGTCATCCTTCAGCAGTCTCCTCTTCAGTGCCCTGACAGCCTCTGTGGTGGGAATACAAGTGAACAAGGATGTGACATCATATGAGACCATGGTCTCATCCTGGTCCAGCTGCAGTTTTTGGACTTTCCTTGCGAAGTCCTGGGAGTTTGTTATGTGGTGCTGTGTGTTTCCCACTAAAGGAGCCAGAATGGTGGCCACGTACTTGGCTATGTTGTAAGTCACCGAGTTGATGCTGCTGACAATGGGTCTGAGTGGGGCTCCTTCCTAGTGTATTTTGGGTAGGTCATAATTGCAAGGGATGGCCTCCCTGGGGTATAGTCTGTAGTATAGTCGCCGGTCAATAACTCCCTCCTTTTCCAGCTTCTAGTCTATAACCTTCTTCTTGTAGCCACTGGTGGGGTCCCTCTTCAGTGCTTCATAGGTGGTGGTGTCACTGAGGAGGATGGAAACTCTGGTCTGATAGTCAGCTGAGTTTAGGACTACTGTACACCTGGCTTTGTCTGCTGGAAGGATTGTGATGGTTTCATCCTTTCATCCTAAGGTTCAGGGGTGGGAGTTTGGCAATGGCCAAAGCAGAGTGACCTTCATCCGCAGTTCTTCTGCCTCTGTCTCGGCCAGCTTGTTGTTCCTAATGGCTGTCTCTGTGGCTGGGGTGAAGGCTACCACAGGGGTTTGTTTT